TGCACATCCCTGCACATCCCTGCCATCCTGCACATCCCTGCACATTCCTGCCATCCTGCACATCCCTGAACATTCCTGCACATTCCTGCACATCCCTGCACATCCCTGCACATCCCTGCACATCCCTGTCAATGTTGCTGAAGTGGAGGTTGTCGAGAGCTTCACGTTCCAAGGAGTAAATATTGACAACGATCTGTCCTGGTCAATCCACATTGATGGTACAATCAAGAAAGTGCACCAACACTTCGAATTCCACCCTCGTTCATTAGTCAGAAGGTACAAAAGTTTGAAAACACGTGCCAGCAAATTTAAGAATGGCTTCTTCCCCGCTGATATCAGACTTATGAACAGACCTCTTGTATATTAGTTTTGATCTTTCTCTGCACCTTTCCTATAGCTGTAGGTCTGCATTCTATTCTGTTAACCCTGATGTACCCATGATTTATTTGGATAGCACGCAAAACAAAACTTTTTCATTTTACCTCGGTGCACATGATAATAACAAACCAAATTAAACTTAATTGTTCCATCTTTGTCAGTGAGCCTTTCATCTCTATTGGCTCTCAATGCTGGAGGGCTTTCACCAAACATGCTCCAAGCTGTTCCCCAAATCCTACCTCCTCTACCAAAGTTTGAACATCTGCTTGATATTTCCTACTGGGGCCTGGGGATGAATTTTGATTGATAATGTGAATCCCAGAAGGAAAAGCCTATAAAACATGAAAGTGACATGCACTGGTTCAAATTGGAGTTCCCTTTTTTAAGATATACAAGCTGTGTTCAAACCAATCCAAGTCATTTCCAAATTTTATTGTTTTCAGAAGTACCTTGAGATTTTTTCGACATAAAAGATGCAATACAAATGAAGTTGTTGTTGAGCTCCCCATTTTGTATTCCGTTTAGCAACACAGTCATTAAAGGAATTGTCAATTTCTATTTTCCCTCTTTCTACAGTCACAGAGTCATACAGCATGGAAACAGACCCTTCGGCTCATCTAGTCCATGGCGACCATGTTCCCAAACTAAACTAATCCCACCTGCCTGCATTTCGCCCATATCCCTCCAAGCCTTTCTTATTCATGTATTTATCCAAATGTCTTTTAAACATTGTAACTGTACCTTCACCCGCCACTTCACCTGGCAGTTCATTCCACACACGAAGCACTCTCTGCACAAAAAAGATGCCCCTCATGCCCTTTTCAAATCTTTCTCCTCTCACCTTAAAAATATTCCCCTAGTTTTGAACTCCCCTACCTTAGGGAAAAGACCTTTGCTATTCACCTTATCTATGCCCTTCGTGATTTTATAAACTTCTATAAGGTCACCTCTCAACATCCTACATTCCAGTGCAAGAAGTCTCAGCCTATCCAGCCTATTCCCATAATTCAAACCCTCCATTTCTGGGAACATCCTGGTAAATCTTTTCTGAACCCTCTCCAGTTTAATAATACCTTTCCGAAAGCAGAGCAACCAGAACTGCACACAGTATTTCAGAAGAGGCCTCACCAACATCCTATACAACCTCTACATAATGTCCCGACTCCTGTACTCAAACGTCTGAGCAATGAAGGCAAGCGTGCAAAATGCCTTCTTAACCACCCTGTCTACCGGTGATGCAAATTTCAGTGAATTATGTGCTCTTTGAAGAAGTGCCTGGCTTCCTTTCCACAATATGAGCTATGCTTTTCTCTGATGATGATAGATAGGGTTGTGACATGACCTCACTTATCAGCTTTGACCCCACATGCTGGAGGAATGCTGGAAATCAACGGAGAACATTATTGTCTCGGTGATGCTGGCCTGGATATTAGAATGGGAATCTG